ACTGGATATTTTTTCAGTTATAATAGTGAATCCTCCCATGTTAAAAAGTTGTTCCTGCATGTCAGCGTGACATAAAATATAGAACAAACCTCTGTGATCTCAACATAGCAGAACATGTATTTGTTGGCTTAGGTTCATCATGTGTCAATTTTTTTTCTTTGACAATTTTCTTACGCAATGATAGCAGTCACCTCAGTGACAGACAACAGTGCACAGCAGAAATCATTTTTCATAGATTCCTCTGGGGATTGCTGTCAGTCACCGTTATGTTTGAAATCTTTATTAAAAATCTCTGGTGGAAAAGAGGTCTATCAAAATAACTTGTTATAAACCTTCCATTGTTCAGTGGGATTATTCCTCTAACATCATCTCACACTAACAAGTGAGCTCATAATGTGTCAAAGAAAACAGGGAATTGGTGGAAGGGAAATGCTACTTTTAATGCTGTTGAACGGTTAAACCTCCCACGTCATAACAGTGGTCAGTCTACTATATATACACCTCATCCCACATGGTCCTGATGGAGTCTGTCAGAACACTTTCTAAACACCCACTGCAGCCGTATCCATGGAGGAGGCAGATTTTGAGGCCCTTTTTATTTTGGCGGGGCGATGATTCTCTGACATACACGTACGTTGTCTGGACAGCTTTGACAATGTGTCCCCTCTGTTTCCACTGCTGGAAATAGAGACGTTTTCTTCATGCATCTGCTCTGCCTGAATATTTACTGAATCTCTCTCTCACTCTCCATCAGAGTGAAGTTGACTAAGTGATATTAAATCCTCACTCCGACTGTTTTGCTTATAACAAACTCATAGTGGATGCTGGTCGTCTTTGGTTGTGCGTGCATGTGTGTGTTGACTTATGGGTCTAATCTCATCTGAAATGAGAGTTGTACGCTGGCCGTGTTATTTATATAACCACACTACAAACCAGATTCATCTGCTCCGGCTATAGTTCTTTAGAGAATAGCACAGACGTGTCCTGCCTCTACTGGAGGCCAGCTACTCCTCCGTCATACTTACTGTAAAGACAGATTTATAATGCAGGTAATGCAAATGGATGCAGGTTGATTCTGCAAAGAGGCTGGAGGGCACATTTTACGAGTGCAATCAAATGCACTGGATGTATACATGCTTATTACTCACATTTTACTGCACTCTAGGATTCAGGATACATACTGCCTCAGAAAAAGAGGTACATTAAGCACTATGTTCATCCAATTAAAAACATTTTATCATGTTTAAACATGGAAATTAAATAGAAACATATTTCAGTCTGTTAAAGCATCACTCAAAAACATTTAGACTGAATCCAACATAATCTCCACTGCCTCTTGATTATTGAACTAATGATTATGAGGTGAACGGAAATGCTCTTCTCCAAATGAACGATAACTTTGCTGACTGACAAGTAAATGAAAAGCTGCTGTTTGCTCTAATTTTTACCAACTTTAGGAGGCGATGATATGTTTATAATTTTAAACTAATGTTGTGCTTTGGCTTGTTTCTGCTGCCCTCAAGTGGGCATAAAACAAGAGAAAGCAGGTTTATGATAATAATTCTAATAGACTTTTCATATGGCACCTTTCAAAACACAGTTAAGGAGCTTTACAGGTTTGAAATTAAGAACTGAACTGTGCACATAATTGAGTGCAAAGATCACAGAAAGGCCTGGTCACCCTTGGTCCTCAGTTGGGACTGCTGCATGTTGAGTACGACCTTAGCAAATTACCTCAGGTTACGAGCTTAAGTGCAAATCCAGACCAAGCCTTAAAAGACAACATTAAAATCTTAAAATCAATTCTAAAATTGACGGGAAGTCATTGAAGTGAAGCTAAAATCAGAAGAACGTACTCTCTTTTTGTTGAATTAGTGAGGACAATAATTTCACACTAATTTTCCTCCAAGTTTGACAAACTCACTGCTGAGATCCGACAGTGTTTCACATCCCATCTGTGCTTCTTGCCCACCTCATCAACACTTCCCCTATTTCACACAAGTCATTTTCATGTCTGCACACAACGCTGGTCTCCTGCTTCCTTCCGGATGTTCTGCCTCATAGTCGTTTTCAAAAATTAAACTGACATTTTGGATACCACTCAATAACACCCACTTGTCTTTCCTCTCAGGAACTCGAGGAAGGAGCTGAACGACATCCGCTTTGAATTTACTCCTGGCCGAGGTAAGAGCTCAGCTTCTAATTGATTCAGATGTGCTATTCCTTTTTTAATAACATTTTCAGGGGCGCTGTGAATTGTTGTGTGTGTAATGGACAAGGGCAGTGTTTGTAGTGGGAAATACTCATGAACTAATATTATTTCTAACACAATTCCCCGGAGAGTGAAGTGTTGCACATCCAATATTTGTTGTGTTATTCACTCACCAGACACAGCTGATGGCGTTTCCCAGGAACTGTTCTCGGCTGGTCTGGTCCACGGTCAAGATGTGGATATTGGTAATGTTACCTGCTTTTTCTTTTAAAATTGTGATACCATAAAATATCACACAGGGAGCATTAGGATGTTACTAGAGCACTATTATCACAGATGGACATTTATGTTATCCGGTAAGCTCACAGAACTTAACTAATATAAATTACTTGTATTTCTTAAATATATCAATTTCAGGGCTATGGCTCATGGGGTAGAGCTGGTAGACCACTAAACAGGTGGTTCGATCCCAGTCTCCTTCAAATTGCTCCTGACGCGTGTGTCGGCAGTGTGTGTGTGATGTGTGATTGAGAAAGTGCTGCATATAGATGCATCAAGACTTAAAAAGAACTACATAAATACAGACCATTTACAAATTCCATTTTATTTTAAAATTATACAATAACAGCTTTATATAGTCTACAAAATGTAAATTACAATATTTAAATGATTGAATCAAGATATTGCTTTTCTTTAGAATTGACATGTCCTGAAATGTATTTGTTTGTCAATATAACCATTACAGTTGCTGCCAACCTTCAGAAGATTGTCAATGACCCGACCACCTACAAAGTATTGACCTTTAAGCTGGTGAGTCTCCGGATAAGTGATGGTTGACGACAGCCTCCCGGGTTTTTGTGCCCGACTTCATCTCGCCGTAAACAGCTTGTTGTTGATGAAAGGAATGTGAGAGGTTGAGTTATTAGGAAGGACACAAACAGAGCAAATAGCTTCGGCACCAACCCAACATGTGTCGCTGAAGGTTTTTCAGCCAGTGAGACAAAGAATATATTCTTTATAGTTTAGTTGGTGGAAGAGAACCGAGACGCTGCTGTTTAATTTATGGGGTTTTAACTAAAAGGTAGAAATATTTCTTCCCATCACATTCAGCCTCTGCACAGTGCACATCCAGTCTATATGAAACTTATATAAAAAGTGGTAATATAATGAAAATAAGACAGTTTCCTTTGTTGATTTGTGTTATTATTTTTCATAATGGCTGATCGTGTTTTGTGTAACATTCAGTGTCATCATTCTGTCAGCGTCTCTTCATCTCCAGCACAAACAAAATCCTGAAGGTCAAACACAGTTTTCATCCAACAGCAGCACCGTCTGTCTCTCTGTGTGTGTCTCTGTGTGTCTCTCTGTGTGTCTCTCTGTGTGTGTCTCTGTGTGTCTCTCTGTGTGTCTCTCTGTGTGTGTCTCTGTGTGTCTCTCTGTGTGTGTCTCTGTCTGTCTCTCTGTGTGTCTCTCTGTGTGTCTCTCTGTCTGTCTCTCTGTGTGTCNCTCTGTGTGTCTCTCTGTGTGTCTCTCTGTCTGTCTCTCTGTGTGTCACTCTGTGTGTCTCTCTGTGTGTCTCTCTGTGTGTCTCTCTGTCTATCTGTCTGTCTATCTGTCTGTCTCTCTGCAGCCATCACCCCCACGTGATTGTTATTTATTTGTGCACTCTGCAGTTCACCTGGGGGGGGCACATATTCTTCATGCAGTAATGGTTATTTGGAGTCTGAATGATGATCCAGCCTCACTCTAATACCTCATCTGTAATCACAGCGGAGGAGAGGCCAGATAAAGACTAATTGCACGTTACGTATGAGACTTTTTGAGAGGTCGCTTTTCTGGGGCTATTAGACAAACAGTGACATTTGTGGGGGTGGGGGGATGAAGCAAAGCAATAATGTCAATTCTGCTGGATATGACAAAAACATTTTACTGACCTTTGTGTATTTGTGGGTAAACAACAGCTGTGCTTGAGGTCACTGTGCGACCTTTCTACCACGTCTGCCTCAGCAGCAGCAGCTGCCAAGCGTTGCAGGTAGAAGGCAGTCCAGTTGTAGATACACCGTGTAGATGTATGAGCATTGTTACTTTTCCATACGTTAACCCTGCTCTACTGCAGACTGCATAAAATCCTCACTTTTCGCCTCCTGAACGAAGCGGTGCAGTTTCACACAACCCAGGAAGTGAGAATAATAATCCTCGGTAGGGGAAATTGTAAACACTGTTTATAGTGTGGGTGGCACCTCTGTGACTGACCTGTTTTTATAGCACTACCAGCATCAGACAGCTGCAGGACTCTCAGATCTCCAGAGAGATGGAGCGTCTGTCTCCTTTCAGGTGCGAATCAATGGAGGATGGCAGGTTAGGTCACCCATTTTGTGGATGGGAAAAAAAACGCTGTCTATCTTAGCCAGGGTAAGAAATAAGGTGAGATGAGTTGCTGGGAGATGACTTGTCAGTAATATATAAATATGTATTGTGCTTTGTCACTGGGAGCTCTGAAACGTGAGGGTTAAAATAATTTATATGGACATGGATATTACATGTGATTGTTGAAGTCTCATTCCAAATCCATGGACGTTAATATGCTGTGAAAATGGCCTCCACTCCTCTGGGAAAGCTCTCCCCCTGATTTTAAAACCTGGCTGTAGGGATTGGCTCCTGTTCAGCCACAAGAGCATCAGTGAGGTCGGCCACTGATGCCGGGCTGCATTCAGCGTTTCAATCCATCTCAAAGGTGTTGCGTGGGGTTAATGACTCTGTGCAGGTCAGTCAAGTTCATCCATACCCAACTTAAAAGAAAGCCATTTCTTTACTGACTTCAGTTTGTGCACATCGCTTCAGCAAGGGGGTAAACTAAACCATGAAAACAAGCCCAGACCAAAAGTAGATTTAGGAATGTAGACACAGGTATGTGTTTACAAACTGTTTACATTTTAGTTTTCTCATTCGATCCTTCAAATTTCTGGTGATGTTCTGATCATATGAAGTTCAGTTGGCCTCATTCAATACCTTAGTTATTCATGTGGGGAGATGGTGTATTTATGGGATCATCATATTAACCTCTTTGTAGACGTTCTTCTGGAATAAATTAGCTAAAGTTCCAGATGAGAAAAGATAAGGTGAATTTACATTTTTGTGTTTTCGTGTTTTTTCTCCTGTTTTCATGTTTG